ACATGTATGTTTTCCTGTCGCAAAACTGATGGCTTATAAAGGCAAAGAAAATGTGTTTTCATTCCACACAAGATAGTCACTGGTAGACCAGTAACTACTGGTATATAATCTTCTGCTGGTCCCTTGTTGTCTCATGCTAATGTCATTAGCTTTGTAAGTCTTTAATGTCGTTTGCTTGAGTTTATTATTAACAGAGTAAGGAAGATTTTCCAGATCTCCATTCAAGGGATGCTGTGGTTACATTCTAATGCCTGGAGGATGGGTATTCTGGAAGCATCCTCAAAGGAGGACAGCCCTTGATCCCTATTGAAAAGAATCTTAGCAAGTACTCCCAAGCATTGCCACTGCTGCAAAACTGGAGGTGCTGAGCCTTGGATACACACCTCACAACTAAAGAAGGCTGCACTTGGCTCTCGCTGGTTTTGTCCAGTGGTTAGAGCATCGGCCTCAGACTGAAGGATCCTGGGTTCGATTCTGATCAAGGGCATGAACCTCAGTTACAAGCTGGATCCCATGCTCCAGTCAAGGCACATGCAGGAGGCAACCAATCAATTATAAGTCTCTCTCACATCGATGTTTCTCTCTGTGTGTCTCTCCTCCTCCATTCCATTCTCTCTAAAAATCAATATCCTTGGGTGAGGATTAACAAAACAAACAAACAAACAAAAACAAAAAAAGAAGGCTGCACCTGCCATTTAATTCTGTATAAACGCTGGAGACCTTCAAAAATGACTAAGAAGAGAAGAGACTGATATCAATATAAACAACTTCCACCCAAGAGATCAGACTTCCTACTTAGCTAAACATGAAACCCTTCCTCCTTTCTTTCCTTCCTTCCTTCCTTCCTTCCTTCCTTCCTTCCTTCCTTCCTTCCTTCCTTCCTTCCATTTTTCTTTCTTTTATACAGGCATTGACCTGAAAAGATAATGCCATCATCTGTATTTTCCAAGTCATTGCTAAGAGGGTAACCTCTGTAATTCAAAACAACTTTTTATTTAAAGTTATAAGAAAACCTATTTCAACCCTGGCTTGAATGAGCAATCATGCCCTGACTGGATTTTCACTTGTCATCATGGTTATCTTTCTCCTTGGGTCTATGCATGCCTAGAGAGCTGGTGCACAGCTGGGCAATGCCCCTAACTGCTAAGAAAGAGCCTGTTAGGTAGGAAGTTAGACATGAGTGGCTGGGGCGGGACCTGTCTTGGGATCCTGACAGGGGTCAGACCAACATTGCCTTCAGACCACCTCGATGGACAACCAGCAGCCAGCAGCCAGCAGACTGCTAGCAGCCTGGTTCAGAACCAGTGGTTCTAGGCGCAAGCTCAGAGGAAAATAAAAGGGCCTCAATTTGACCTTACTAGGGTCCCAGACTAATTATAATAAATTCTGCATTAAGATTTTGACAACCCCTCCCTGCCATGGTTTTTCTACAGTGCATTATGGGAAAGGGCACGTGCAGAAGAAATGCAGTTATATAAATTTAGTTATAAATTTAGCCCATCATCCCTGACTGCAAATGAAATTCTCCACCCAGAAAATCCCTCTTTTAAACCATATAATCCAGGAGTTTGGGGACATTGTCTCTTTCGACTGGCCCTCTCCTTGCTTGGAGTGTATTTTAAATAAATCCTATTTTGCTTTACTTTCATTTTCATTGACCTTAAAATCTTTTCTGCACCGAGGAGAAGAACCGGTGTCCCAGCCAGTGACCCAGTCAGTAACAAACCTAGCAGGGGTCTTTTCATGATGCAGTTTGCTAACTTGGCAGAGCCCTACTACTTCCCTGGTTAGCAGGAAATGTAAATGGGAATAGCCTTAACTTAACTCGTGGAGACATTGAAGAGCCCTTGATTAATTTTTAGTTGAGCAAGAAGGTATCTGTGCTGTGGTCAACATCACCTGCTATACCTACATCAACACTTCTTGAGCAGTTGAAACTCAGCTACATAAGATTACTGAGAAAGTCACTTAGCTTAAAAAGGTAATTACTGCACCCCTATGTTCATAGCAGCACAACTTACAATAGCAACGATTTGGAAACAACCTAAGTGCCCATCAGCAGATGAGTGGATTAAAAAACTGTGGTACATCTACACAGTGGAATACTACGCTGCTGTAAAAAGAAGGAATTCTTACCATTTGCAACAGCATGGATAGGCCTGGAGAGCATTATGCTAAGCGAAATAAGCCAGTCAGAGAAAGATAAACATCACATGATCTCACTCATTTGTGGAATATAATGAACAACATTAACTGATGAACTAAAACATATCTAGAGACAGAGAAGCATCAAACAGACCATCCAACCTCAGAGGGAAGGTGGAGGTGAGGAGGAGGAATGGGACGGGGGCGGAGGGGGGGGGGGTGGGCATGGGTGAGAGATCAGCCAAAGGACTTGTATGCATGCATATAAGTATAACCCATGGACATAGACAGTAGGGGGGGTGAGTCATGTGCTGGGGGGTGGGAATGTCTAGGGAGAGTTCAATGGGGAAAAATGAGACATATGTAACACTTTAAACAATAAAGAATTTTTTTAAAGGTGATTACTTTAACAAGGGTCTTTCTTTGATTGGTTTGGGTCTTAGAGACTATGGCTCCAGAGTACATTCAAAGCACTGGGAATTATCCTATTTAGAGTTGTCCTAATAATCTCCCTCTCACATGCTTGAAATGTATGTTTGCAGGAAAAGGTATCCCTAAGACTGCAATATCAAAAGGGAATGAAGAAAAGACCAATTTAAGCATTTTCAACTAAATCCATGGCCTGTGAGTATCCCTGGGATTAAACAGAAACATCATGGCCTGTGAATATCACACAGGTTAAGAATTTGATAAAAAGGTGGGAAATGCTAAAACAAGAAACAGCAGTCCAAATGATTCACTTTTACTAAGACATGTCACCAAACCAAAATTTCATTAACTAATCTAATTGCAGTTTCAGCCTCTCCCAGGAGTGGAATTTAAAGCAATCATTCTGGAATTTTCTGCTCAATGTTAGTGAGGTGATATGCAAGAGGAAACCTCTGCCATTTCCTTCCTCCCATAAGAATGGGAGGAAATAATTTTCCCTACTTTTCTTTTGCTAATAAATCCCCTGCCCACCCTTCTGCTTATATGTATTTTTTTTTAAAAAACTCCCAAACTTTCATGTTATATAACCCCTGGGATATTACTCTACTCAGAAATTTAATAAAGCCAATTAAGTCTTCAAATATATTCAGTTGAATTTTGTTCTTTAACACTACTTATTAGCAGTGTGACCTTTTCAAAGATACTCATCTGCCTTTCCCATTGAAAACAGTAAGAATTTACATCCATATATATAAAAGGTTAAAATGCAAAGTGTTCCCTCGGGAGTTCGACCAGGAGACCAGAAGTTCGATCGCTCGCTATGATGTGCACTGACCACCAGGGGGCAACGCGGAACAAAGGAAGGTCCCAGCCAGCAACCAGTAGGCCTGGATGGGCCCTGATCGCCAGCCAGGCCTAGGGACCCTACCTGTGCACAAATTTCGTGCTTCGGGCCTCTAGTCTTACATATTTGTTGAGAGTATAAACGATGTAAGCTATACAAAAGAGCCTGGCACAGAAAGTGGTAATAATCACATACTAGTGCTTCTCTCTGACTATTAATCCACCTTGTATTGTTTTATTGACATATCCAAAAGTGAAAAAGTTGGAGAACACTTAGAAAATCTTGTTGCACCCGTAATGTTAATATCTGTATAGCAGTCCTTCATTTAACTGATATCTTAGTGTTGGACATTTAAATGATTTCTTATTTTCCACTCATAAGTAAAGCTAGTATATACTTATATCTCTGAGTGTATTATTATTTTATCGTGCAGAATACATTTCTAGAAATGAAACATGGGATTAAAGAATATGGCTATTTTGAGGCTCTTAATATTTACTGTTAAATTATCTTTCAGAAGTTTTATATTTTTTCTTTCAGTCTATGAATTTATTATGTAGTCTTAATCCTAAATCAAGTTGGTCTCAGATATAATTTATATATATATATGTGTGTATATATATATATATATATATATATATGAACATTTTTTGAAATATGTGTGGGACAGAAAACATACTTATTACCAAGGAGGCCTTAAGATTTTTCTCAGTTTGACTAAACTTTAGGCAGGTTTCTTACTAACTGTAGTCCCCGAACTCCCTTTTCTTAGAGCATTTACTTTAGAAAACTTTCAATTAAGATTCCTTCTCTGCCCCTGTGACATGTAAATTTTCTTTCAGGTTCTGGCCATTTTTAAAACCCAGGGATGTCTCTCTCAAGGATCTCTCAAAGAATGGAGCCATTCTTTGAAATGTAATTATCTATTACGCTAAATGAAATAATTCAATCTGAGAGAGACAAATATCACCTTATCTCACTTCTTTGTGGAATCTAATGAACAAAATGAATTGACCAACAAAATCAGACCTGAAGCAGGGAGGCATGGAACAGATTGACATACCTTGATGCAGGGTTGGGGGGACAAAAAAAGATCAACCAAAGAACTTATATATTTATATGCATAACCATGGACACAGGCAATAGAAGGGTGAAGACCTGGGGTTGGGGGTTGGATCTAGGAGGAGAAAGGTAAAAGGGGGAGAAATGGGAGATATCTGTAATATCAACTAATATATATATATATATGTATATATATATATATATATATACACATATATATATATATATTATTAAAAATAAATGTAATTATTAAGAAAGAGAGGGCTCTATTTTTCAGTCTCTACAGGAGGGTAAGAGACTAACTTTGACAACCACCAGTTAGTAAATACAGGTGACCTAATCACACTGACCAACCTCTTCCTCAGTGTCTTCCCTTTTGTCCTAGTCTTGGAAACTCTGCCATTTTCTGTTTTAGGGGAGTTGGCACTATTGCAATAGCCTTGACCCCTATTGCAATTGTCTTGAATAATGTCTTCTTGCCTGTTTAACTTGAAACGGTATAGTTTCCTCTGACACTTACCATCTTGTTTGAAAGCATCTGATGAATGATAAAGGTTGATGGGGGAATAATAATGTTGAGCTGTCCCTCGCCAGCTTGGTGAAGAAACACTCAGGGCTCCTAATGAAGGACTGCTGTATCGTGGTCTAGTCTTTGAACCAAACACGGGTGAAGATGAACTCTTCTTAATTCTTAGCAAAGCAGCATAGGAAGTAGGGAGACCAGGAAGAGCTCCGGAATATTCTGTAGAAGAAAAACAATAATAAAAAATGAATTCTTGTGAAAATTATTTCTTCTGAAGACATTGTTGAAAACATCCCTTGCAGCTGCAACTAAATGCCAATTACAGTGAGAGTGGGGGGAAAGAAAATGTTACTTTTATATTTTGAAATATTTTCTGAAAATTCTACTAGTTCTAAATTGGTGGGAAGGAAGGAAAGAGAAAGAAAGAAAGGAAGGAAGGAAGGAAAGAAAGAAGGAAGGAAGGAAGGAGAAAGAAAGAAAGGAAGAAAGAAAGAGAAAGGAGGAAAGAAAGGAGAAAATAAAAGAAAAAGAGGAAGAGGGAAGAAAGGGAGGAAGGAAGGAAGGAAGGAAGGAAGGAAGGAAGGAAGGAAGCAAAAAGGGAAGACATCCAAAATTTGTCTTTACTTTCTTGGTCAGGACAATTTTGGAATTAACTTTCTGTTTGCCTTAATATTAAAATGTCCATTTATATACAGTAGATCAGTACCTTTTTATTATTAAAAAATAATATTGTAGATTATATTCTATAAATACAGGTTAGAAAAATAAAAACAATATACAACTATGATCGTCATTTAAAATTTATCATAAAGTAGAAAGTGTATCTAATGTATCATATATATTTTGAGTAGGCTGTAAGTTATGCTCATATTCTTAAAAAGCAGCCAAATTTATTATGCAATGCAACATTTTTGGATAAATTTGCTTTGTAGTTTTTGTTGTACAATCTATGTAATTTAATGTTATCAAGTGGGGATACTATCAGGAAATTTCTGCTTTTATTGGTTACTGAGAAATGTCATGCTCATATTTTATTTTAGTCCCCCAAATTTTTCATTATAAAAGATGTGCAAAGTGGGTGGTACTATCACTCCTTTATATCTACAGGGGAGAGTCAGTTCAGTGTATAGATCAAATGTTTAAAAATACAAACTAATTGATGACTTCTTAAAAACAATTTGAAATTGGATTTTTTTCTAAGTCTAATATCAATTGAATTTGATAATTTGTTGATCTTGAAAATACTTTTTAGAATCAGTCATTTTTGTTCAGGGTATCTGACATTTGGACTTAATTGTAGATAAAAAATAATTTATCTTGTTAGTAGGCTTTCTCATAATTAAAATAATTTAGAGTCATTATCCTGCCTCAGAGATATTTTGGAATGCAAGAACCATTTCTGTGATTTGAAAATAACACTTTAGGTGTTAAGCATCAAATTAAGTTTAACATTTTCTGCTCTGTTAAATTGTAAACATGATTTCTCTGTAAGTTGAAAAAGTATATTTTCAGATGTTCTCTACATTTAATGTAATATGTGTAGCCCATGCCTATAAGGAGCTGTAATGAAAATCATATCCTTTAGTATTTATGTTCAACCATAAGTCTGGTGAAGGTGGATCAATTTTAACTGAAAATAGCTAACCTCTCCTGGGCAAAGTATATGAGAATAGATTATGGGTAGACATAAAGTCTTCTTTAAAACCTGGAATTAAATGCAAGTTTTGGCACCTAGAGGTATAAGGTAATGAAAAGAGAATGAGTTTTCCTTTAAGGTAGTTTGTAGTTTTAGTCTCAGAACCTATTCATTTATCAGTGCACTCTGTTGCCTTGTGTTTTAACTGCCTACCCTGCTCATACACGAAAATAAGCTAAATTAGGTAAATCAGTGGAAAGCTAGAGGGACCATAATGAGGTTCAAACAAGCAGGATAAGATTTTAGTTATAGATCATACGTATCTATCCATTCATGTTAATATATATTAACATATATTAACAAAATCCATACTGTCCAAGTGGAACAATAATTGACTTATGCCACTCCATACAGAGAGCGATGAGACAAATGCTAGTTTGCCTCTGTGCTCCGCACCAGAACGTCATTTGTTATGTAACCAGTTGCAATTGTTGCAGTGGATATTCCTCTTTCATCAATTAAAGTGAACTCTAAAGCTGTGACTGGAAATCTGACAATTTATGCAACTAATACTTGCAGCTTTAACCCAAGGTGACATAACAGCAAATTCAGGGACCTATGGGCTCCCTCCCAAGGACGAGGCATCTTCTTAGTCAGCCAGTGACTATCAGAAAATACTTTCCAAATGAAAGTCTGTCTAAATTCAGTCCTGAAAGCCCATTCATGATTAGCTCAGCAAAGCTCTGAGGGGAGAAGAAAAAAATATTCTAGATAAAGGGAAAAAGAAAACACATGAAGCCTTGTAAAGGAAAGGCAGCCTGGCATGCCTGGAAGGTAAGTAGTCAGAAGTTCGGAGCATGAGGGAGAAGAGAGAGGGGAGAGGGAAGGTTGGTCAAGTAAGCAAGGGGCCAATGATGAAATGCCTAACACATCCTGCTAAAATGGTATGACTTTGAACAGACAGCAATAGGTTTTAGAAAGATCACTCTGGCTACAGTGCCTTTGGAATAAAACAGAAAGAAAAAATGATTACTCAAGAGCCTAAAGCTGTAATAGAGGCAAAGATTACCCAGGAATGAGGAGTTGTTAATCTATATGGGAATAAAATTAATAGGATTACTCATTGATTAGATTGGAGGTAAGGACAGGCACGTAAATAACGGGATGATCTGTGCGTCTGTAAGATGGATAAGAATGTAGGAAGAGGCACCGGCTTGAGGTGAAAGCTCATTAATTCGTTTTGGGCAGGTGGAAAGTGTGAGACGCTTCTAAGGCATTTACGTTGATTATAAGATTCTGTAACCATAAAGGAAATGCAGGCTCCTGAGATTATTAAATCGTAATCAATTAGATGGTTATTAAAACTCTTTGAGTTGACGAGTTTGCCAAGGAAATGTGTAAATGGAGAAATAGAGTGTTGAAAATGGGACTTTGGGGAGCACCGGCATTTACGGGGAAAGCAGAGGTAGTAGAACCTGGAAAGGAAAGAGGGAAAGCTGGAAAAGTGGGATGTCACTGAGGGGAAGGGAAGAGAGTCCACTCAGAGGAGAGAGCAGGGGACAGTGTGGACGATCAGTGCAGAGCCTTGCCCAGCAGACTGGGGTGCCCGGCAGTGTCACGCTGTCTGAGTGCGCGGTGCATGGGAACGTGAGTCAGAGCCAGGAGGTGAAAAGGGTTTTCTTTTCTTTTTCTTTTTTTTTAATATGTCTTTATTGATTTCAGAGAGGGAAAGAGAGATAGAAACATCAATGATGAGAGAGAATCATTGATTGGCTGCCTCCTTCATGCCCCCTGCTGGGGATCAGGCCTACAACCCAGGCATGTGCCCTTGATCAGAATTGAACCTGGGACCCTTCAGTCTGCAGGCTGATGCTCTATCCACTGAACCAAACCAGCCAGGGCAAAAGGGTTTTCCAAGCCAGGAAGACAGTCTGGCACCCCTAAACTGCCAATTCCATTGCATTAGACATACAGACCCGGGCCTTAGCCTGCTGCCTCCCTCAGTCTCCTGACCTGAGTGCAACTGACTATCAACTCAGTGAGTCCTCCCACTCACAAGTACTTTTTTAAAGTTATTTTATTTTATTTTTTAAAAATTTATTTTATTGATTTTTTAGAGAGAGGAAGGGAGAGGGGTAGAGAGTTAGAAACATTGATGAGAGAGAAACATAGATCAGCTGCCTCCTGCACACCCCCCACTGGGGATGTGCCCGCAACCAAGGTACATGCCCTTGACTGGAATTGAACCTGGGGCCTTTCAGTCCGCAGGTCGACGCTCTATCCACTGAGCCAAACCGGTTAGGGCTTTATTTTATTTTTTATTGACTTTTAGAGAGGAAGGAAGGGAGAAAGAGAGGGAAACATCAATGTGAGAGAGATACATTTATCAGCTGCCACCCATTCTTGCCTCAACTGGGACCAAACCTGCAACCTAGGTATGTGCCCTGACCTAGAATTGAACCCACACCCTCCTGGTGCGTGGGACAGCGTTCCAACCAACTGAGCCACCAGACAGGGCTGATTCCTCCTAGTTGCCCAGACCCTTTTCCTGACATCTTTAATTTTCCTTCTCCTGAATCCCAGTTCTGGGGATCTTCAGCTCTGGAAAATAGATATATTAGCACAAATAAATGGGAAAATAGTGTTTCAATTATAGGACTTTGTTTTAACCCTCAACTTTGTGAGACTGAATTGATATAACACATACAGGTTCTGCTAAGGGTGAAAAATACAGAATTCTCTTCCTAAGTTTAAATGCCAGCATTTGCATTTTTTGTCCTTATTTTATTTCATCTCTTTCTCTAGAATCTCAACACCTTTAAGAACCCATTCACTGTCCTGCACCCTCATTTTTTCTCAATTCCCTGCCTATCCTTACTCCCTTCAATGTACCTTCAATCACACTAACCTTGCCTTTTATTTATTTTTTTTGAAGGATAAAATCTCCTGTCTAAGTTAAATCAAACTGTTGCCACACTCTGTTCCTGGAGAATAACACAAAGTCATGCTAAAGGTCTCAGTCAATGATATTCACCGCAAGTGAGATTTCTAAGCTTCCTGGTAATACTGTCACATTTCCCTATTCCCTTTACTATCCCACCCTACTGGGTACATTACAACTTATCCTCTGTCCTCAAGCTCCACACGGTCTTGGATTTCCTATTTCATTGAGGAAAATGAAGCAATCTGAAGAAAAGGTTCCTCACTTGCTCCCACCACTTATATGTACACCCATGACCTGCTTTCAATGATATGCTGTGAATAATTGTGCATCTATTGAAGGTCACCTCCTCCACTTGAGTGCATTGAATCCCATTCCATCCCATCTTGACTGCACAAGGATATCCTATTTTATAAAAGGCTAATATGCAAATTGACCAAAAGGCGGAATGACCGGTCGCTATGATGTGCACTGACCACCAGGGGGCAGACTCTCTATTCAGGAGCTGCCCCCTGGTAGTTAGTGCATTTCAACAGGGGGAAGCTGGTTCATGGCTGGCCAGGCAGCAGCATTGGTGGGAACTTCTCCCACCTCCGTGGCAGCGCTAAGGATGTCCGACTAACAGCTTAGGCCCACTCCCCTGTGGGCTCCC